TGAGGACCACGGGTTTTACAAGAGTACTTGCCTAGTATGTGTGAGGCCCTGAGTTCGATCCTCAGCTCACTGTGTTTAATTAAAAACAAAAAGTTACCAGGCATTGCCCAATTGATGCCTCCAAAAACACTGGCTCGAATGACATTCCCAGGTCATCTTGACCTACCTTCCTCCGTAGCAGCCTTCCCTCCTCTGCCCACAGAGGGGCCACAGGCCACCGTTCTGTCACACACCCTCATCCCCTTCGCTATTCTCTTGCTCCACAGCACTCACCCAGCTCTCCTTCAACCCAGTCCTAAAACCTCCGCCAAACCCTGCCTAGGCAGCTGCACAGGGCAAGACTAAACCCACAAACTGTTCAAACATCTTAGCTGCAAGCACACTGCCCCAGACCACCATCTTCACCTCTAGATGACTGCTCTTGCTATACCTCCAGATCCCCAAGGCCACGCCCCCTTCCACGTCCACCTGCTCTCAGCTGAAGGCTTCACTCAAAAAATAGAAGCAGGCTGGGCCTCAGTGGCTCATGTCTATAATCCTGGCTACTCAGGAAGCTGAGACCTGAGGATCGATGTTCAAAGCCAGCCCGAACAGGAAAGTCCATGAGACTCTTATCTTCAATGAACCACCAGAAAACCTGAAGTGACACTGTGGCTCAAAGTGGTAAAGAGGCAGTCTTGAGCAAAAGAGCTCAGGGACAGCGCTCAGACCCTGAGTTCAAGCCCAGGACGGACAAAAACAAAACAGAAGCAATCAAGTTCTTCCCAATCCATCTACTTCCATACCATTTGCTCCCTCTTCTTTCTCATGACAAAGGACATACTATATTTCAGTCCTATCCTCTCTTGGAAAGAACTCTGTTTGCCGGGCACCAGTGGCTCATGCCTATAATCCTAGCTATTCAGGAGGCTGAGATCTGAGGACCATGGTTCAAAGCCAGCCTGGGCAGGAAAGGCTGTGAGACTCTGATCTCAAATAAACCACTAGAAAACCAGAAGTGGCGTTGGAGCTCAAGCAGTAGAGCGCTCGCCTTGAGCTGAAGAGCTGAGGGACAGCGCCCAGGCCGAGTTCAAGCCCCATGACTGACCAAAAAAAAAAAAGAACTCTGTTCACACAATTACTCGTTTTGACTTTTTTTCTGTGAGGCAGGATCTTGCTATGTAGCCCCAGCTGGCCTTGAGCTCACAATCCTCCTACCTCAGCCTCCCGATGGCTGAGATTTCAGACTTGTGTCACCATGATGCCCAACTTCCCTCTGACAATTCTCAAGCAGGTGAGGACACGTAGGCCACCACCAGCTCACCCAATTTCTCCACCTGGATGACAACGAAGTATTTCAAGCCTAATGTGTCCAAAATGGGATTCTTAACCCTCTTCTTCCTCCTGCCCTCTTTACAGCTCCATAGGTGGCATCAAAGGCACCGTCCTTCACCCTACACCCTGAACCAAATCTCGGGGTCACCCTTGACACTACTTCCTGACATTCATCCATCAGCCAGCCTGTGTGTGTGTGTGCACACACGCGTGCGCATGTAATCCACCCCAGTCCTATCAGCAGACTACATGAGACACGACACATTTTTCTCCAATTCCGCTGCTACCTCCATAGTGTCCACTGTCTCTCAACTCAAACGGTAGGGCACCAGCTCTGAGAAAGCTAAGTGAGCGTGAGGCCTTGAGTTCAAGCCCCAGTACAGGGTGGGGGGAAGCAGCTCCTAGTGTGTGAGAGCTGACCTAAAACTCAAAACCAGGCCTTTACACTCTCCTTTCTGATTTTGTTTGGCGTGGGGGGGGAGGAAGGGAGGGGAGAGGGAGGGGGAGAGGGAGGGAAAGAGAAAGTCCTGTCATGGGGCTTGAACTCTGGGCCTGGGCGCTGTCCCTCAGCTCTTCAGCTCAAGGCTAGCGCTCTACCACTTGAGCCATAGTGCCACTTCCGGTTTTCTGGTGGTTCATTGGAGATGAATCTTGGACTTTCCTGCCTGGGCTTGCTTTGAACCACAATCCTCAGATCTCAGCCTCCTGAGTAGCTAGGATCATAGGTGTGAGCCACGGGCAACTGGCTTGGCTTGGTTTTTGAGACAGGGTGTGACTAGGTAGCTTAGGGTAGCCTCCAACTTGTTAATGCAGCCCTGGCTAGCCTTAAACTTGCTCAAACTTGTGACCCTTCTGCCTCAGCCTCCCTGGGGCTTGGATTACAGGTGCCCCTGGCCATACCAGCTGGGGTTCACTCTGCACATAGCACCCACAGCAGATAAATCAGGACAAAAGCAGAGTGCTCTAATAATGACTTCTGAATACAGGTCAAACACAAACTTTGTTCAAGCCACAAACTACCACATCATATTTCCCAGCTGGTAGCTACTGCTTTCCCCCACGCACACACCCAATTTCAGCTCTGACCCACTTTAGTGTATTCTCCGCATAAGTAAGATTTATTAAAATGCTGAATCCTAGAACTGCCTATTTCCTGACATCGAATCCAAAGCAAAGCATGGATTCCTCAGAACTTGGAGCCCCAAACCATCACAAGTCTTCCCAACACTCTTCTGAGATACTCCCTCACAGCAATGAGCCCAACTTGTAACTACAGGTGTATCCGGGTCACCTTTAGCCAGAGCACTACCACCGTCCTCACAGTACCAGTGCCGCTGCATGAGCAGAAGTCACAGGAACCTGCAAGAAAACAGACTCCTGTCATCCTAGCCACTCAGGAGCCTGTGAGCTGAGGACTGAGGTTCAAAGACAGTCCAGGCAGGAAAGACCGTGAGACTCTTATCTCCAATGATCCACCAAAAAGCCACAAGTGGAGCTGTGGCCCAAATGATAAGAGCACTAACCTTGAGCAAAAAAGAGCTCAGGGACAAGCCCAGGCCCTGAGTACAAGCCCCAGGACCAACCCAAAACTAAAAGGAAAAGAAAACTGCAAGTCATCATCTCGTGCTGCTTCTCTGAGTTTTTCCCTGCTGCCAACTGATTTTCTCAGCAGCTGCCTCTTTCTTCTAAAAGCTGGGTACACGGGGAAACGGAGCGGGGGCAGGGGGGTAGGGAAGGAGAAGCCTGAGTCATGCAATGTCTCAGGGAATAACGAACAGTACAACTCACCAAGGAAGCTCTGCTCAGCTTCCCCGGCTCCCGTTTCTGAAGGTGCCTGGAGCATCGGGCTAGCTTGGTGCTGCAGGACTGACTCATGGGCAGAGCCTGAGGCAACACCACTCAAGTACTTTAAGCCACATGTTCAAGCCCAATAAATTAGCCCAGGCTTAAAGAAGTCAAGCTGTACACATGTAAGAATTTTAATAAGCTTGGAAAATGCTACCTAGAGCTATGCAAAAGCTTACTGTACCAAGGGGATCCCCTGCCACCAGCCGCAGAGTGCTAAGCCTCTGACAAGAGCTGTCGAGCGGCGTGGGGCAATGGGGACGGGGAGTCTGCGCGGTGCGAGTTGCCTTCGCAGTTGGGGAATCACAGCAGATGGCTGGCAGCCAGACGGATGGAGAACAGAATGGGGCAGGCAGCACAGTGGAGCCCATGGCGTTTACTAGGAAAACAGGCCAAGGGATTGGGTAGTGGAAATCTGGTCCTCACACGCCCTGTAGGAACTAGCAAACACTGCGATCAATGTCCCCATTTATCACATGCCCATTTGGACCCAGAACTGTGCCAGGCACAATGGACGGTCATTCAAGCAAACATGGTCTCATTCCTAAAGGCTGACACCTACCATAAATAAAAACAATAAATCTGTCCAAAGGATTACTGAACTCACTGAACAAACATGAAATAGCCAAAAGCATTTACCTTACGTAAACGCAGTGGGGTAATCACTGAAGGGCTAAGTCATGGGAGATGACTCTCTAAACGGGGTTGGGCCCAAATGGAAGTTGCTTAGTAAAGGCTGAGTCTCCAAAAGGGGAGGTCAGGTTTTAAGAAAAGCTTCAAGGGCTGACTACTGGGCTTAGGGAAAAGGAAGGGCACTAGGAAGAAGATAAAGCTTACAAGATGATTTATAAGCAGATATACAATTATAGGAAGATAAAATACTTACTAAACTGCTCAGGAAAAGAAAAAAAAAAGGAGGAAATCAGGCAAGCAGGTGTGTGTTTCTCAAATGGTTTCATTTATGTCCCCTCTGATAGATTTAAAAAAAAACAAAAAAAACAACTCAAACCTTTTTTTTTTTTTTTTGTTGGTCGTGGGGCTTGAACTCTGGGCCTGGGCACTGTCCCTCAGCTCTTCAGCTCAAGGCGAGTGCTCTACCGCTTGAGTCACAGCACCACTTCCAGTTTTCTAGTGGTTTATTGGAGATAAGAGTCTCCTGGACTTTTCTACCCGGGCTGGCTTTGAACTGAGATCCTCAGATCTCAGCCTCCTGCGTAGCTAGGATTATAGACGTGAGCCACTGCGCCCCAGCTTCACACCTTCTTTTAATGTTATTTAAATGTTATTTAAATATTTAAATAACACCACATCAAAGCAATGGTGGATTCAAAATCTGACTTTACAAGTAACACAAGCTTCCCCTCCCCCAGCGCTGAGACCTGCCCAGTGGGGCAGGAGCAGCTATCCAGCTATCCATAAGCATGCTCTCCCAACCCCATCACTGGACTCTTAAGAAAGGGGGGATGTGTCGGTTGGGTGCCGATGGCTCACGCCTATCATGCTAGCTACTCAGAAGGCTGAAATCTGAGGATCCTAGTTCAAAGCCAGCCTGGGCAGGAAAGCCAGTGAGACTCTGATCTCCAATGAACCACCAGAAAAATGGGAAGTGGTGCTGTGGCTCAAGTGTCAGAGCGCTCGCCTTAAGCTGAAGAGCTGAGGGAACCGCGCCCAGGCCCAGAGTTCAAGACCCATAACAGACAAAAAAAAAAAAAAAAAAAGGGGGGGGGGGGCGATGTGGACCTTGGCTCCAAATGGGACCAGACAACCAACTATGAGCATCAGAAAGTGACAATTTTTGGTGATAGAAACAGGCGTTGGCACTCGCAAGAATCCTGAGTTACCTGATTAAAATTTTTGAAGGAGAACTCCTTGTAGATGGCGTCTCTGTCACTTAACTCCGACCATCCTGCTGCTTTCAGAGGAAGCATAGCCTGGTTCCTCTCCTCAGCTGTCAGCCACTGGGCATCTGCAGACTATGAGGACACCACAGTTCAGATCTGAAAATGGAGAGGTTTGAACTCTTGTTTTTGTTGTTTTTTGGGGGGCGGTGCTGGGCCTTGCGCTCTCTTTTTCTCAAGGGTGGTGCTTTACCACTTGAGCCACATCTCCACTTCTGGTTTTTTTCACCAAAGAGTCTTAGAGACTTTGATGCCCAGGCTGGCTTCAAACTTTGATCCTCAGCTCCTCTGAGTAGCTAGGATGAAAGGTGTGAAGCACGAGTACCCAGCTAAGGCTTCAACTCTTTAAACAATACATAACTTTCATCTGAAGACAAGATGTAGATCCAGATGTCGACAGCTCACACCTTTTGTCCTAGCTCTTCAGGAGGCTGAGATGTGAAGATCGAGGTTCAAAGCCAGCTTAGGTAGAAAAGTCCTTGAGATCTTTATCTCCAATGAACCAGCAAAAGGATGAAAGGAGAGGTATGGCTCAAGTGGAAGAGCACCAGTCTTGGGCAGGAAAAGGCAAGTATAAACATAACGCCCTGAGTTCAAGCCCCAATACCAGCAGCACACATGCACGTGCATACACGCACACAAACACAAACACACACACACACTAAAAAAAAAAGAAAAATTGCTGTTAAGAACTAGTCATTAGAAAAAATGTCACAGAGGGACAGGGAAGGTGGCTTAATGGTAGAGTACATGCCTACCATGTATTAAGACCTGGGTTCAATTCCTCAGTTCAATTCCACATAAACTGAAAAAGCTGGAAGTGGTGCTGTGGCTCTAGTGGTAGAGTGCTAGCCTTGAGCAAAAAGAAGCTTGGGGGTGGGGGGGAGAGGATGGGAAGGTGGCTCAGTGGTAGACTGCTTGCCTCGAATGCATGAGGCCCTGGGTTTGATTCCTCAGCTTATCAGAAAAAGCCAGAAGCGGCGCTGTGGCTCAAGTGGTATAGCTCTCACCTTGAGCTGAAGAGCTGAGGGACAGGGCCCAGGCCCTGAGTTCAAGCCCTAGGACTGGCACACACACACACAAACACACACACGCACGCACGCACACACACACCCATACACACACACCTGGTGTGTGTGAAATAACCTGCCTGGTGAAATAATCTAAAATGTTCACTAAACTCCATGCTTTATATAAACATATTTGTATCTAGATGTATTACACTTTTATATTTAGACATACTTGGATATACTTAAATACTTCTAAGTCAACTCGGGTTGGAGGCATGGCTCAGTTGGTAGAGCACCTGCCAATGAGTGAAAGCATTAGCTATCAAGTTCAAGTCCCCACCCACCCCCACAAAAACACCAACTGGAAAAACTGTAGAAAAGAAACAGAAAACTGCCTTTGATCCGTACCAATGTAGCTACAAAGGCAAGCACTGAAGGCTCAGTGGATTATGCAGCAGCTGTCTGTTTCCTGCTGGGCCACAAACATTCCCACTGAGATCAAAAGCAGGCAGGGCTCCTCACAGGTGTCAGTAGCAGGACTCAGATGGAAATGGAGCCAAGCCACTCTGTCTACCTGACAGTCTCTCTGGTAGAAGGCCCACCCTCAGCTGGAGCCGTTGCAGTAATCTACACAAGACCTACAGAGTGTGAACCAACTTGGCCTCTCTGAATTCCAGTCGTCTAGTCTATAGTGGGGATATTACTGAACCTACCTGCCAAGATTTTCTAAAATGTTTAAGACCCCCAGAGCTAGCCTACCTAGCACATAGCAGCCCTCAAACCAAGTCTGTTTATTCATTCCTTCCCTGAGGGAATAATTCTACTTGGTCACTAGCATCTTGGGTCTCAAGACAAGCAAGATGTTGTCCACCTTCATGGCAATAGAGCAAAGGGCTTATCTTCTACCATTATCTTTTCAGTTCCTTTTAGGAAACTTCAAGTGAGCTCTAAACCGGCACCTTTGATGTACCAGTCCTTGTTTTAAAGGTGCCTGGGTGCTCAAGGCAAGGGCTGGAACTCTACCACTTGACTCACAGCACCACTTCCAGCTTCTTGGTGGTTCCTTGGAGCTATGAGTCCCACAGACATTTCTACCCGGGCCTGGCTTTGAACCACAATCCTCAGATCTCAGTCTCCTGGGTAGTAGCTAGGATGACAGATGTGAGCCACCAGTGCCCCACTGCCACAGAGCTATTTTAAATTTCTTCTAGGAAATCTCAAAACGGACTCCAGCATCACCTTGAAATGAACAGGCGAGTTCAATGCCACGTCTTTCCACTAGGTGGCTCTGCACGTCAAAACACACACACACACACACACACACACACACACACACACACACACACACACACACACACACACACACACACACACACACACACACACACACACACACACACACACACCGACTCCACAATAACTTTAATTTCTACACACACACACACACACACACACACACACACACACACACACACACCCCGACTCCACAATAACTTTAATTTCTAAAGCACGGAAGCTGAGAGTCTCGGGGAAGAAAAGATGATGTGTGTGTGTCAGCAACCAAAAAGGGATGTGATTGATCATTGATCACTAGCGCCTGCCAGAGCTCAGCAGCAAGACAAGCCGGGCAAGTGACCACGGGGTGAAGCCAGCGCCTTCGCTCTGAGTTTTTCTTTTGTCGGTGGTGGGTCTTGAACTCTGGGCCTGGGCGCTGTCCCTCAGCTCTTCAGCTCAAGGCGAGCGCTCTACCACTTGAGCCACAGCGCCACTTCCAGCTTTTTCTGCTTATGTGGTGCTGAGGAATCGAACCCAGGGCCTCATGCACGCAAGGCGAGCGCTCTACCACTTGAGCCACAGCGCCACTTCCAGTTTTCTGATGGATTATTGGAGATCAGAGTCTCACGGACTTCCCTGCCCTGGGCTGGCTTTGAACCGCGATCCTCAGATCTCAGCCTCCTGAGTAGCCAGGATGACAGGCGTGAGCCACCGGCGCCCGGCTTCTTCGTACTTCTTGTTGTTGTTTATAGTGTGTATGTGTCTGTCGTGGGGCCTGAACTCGGGGCCTGGGCGCTGTCCCTCAGCTCTTCAGCTCAAGGCTGGCGCTCCACCACCTGAGCCACCGCTCCACTTCCGGCTTTTTTTTTTTTTTTTTTTTTTTGCTCAGAAACTGGAGCTCGGCGACTGACGGGAGTTCCAGGCCCGGGCTGGCTTCGAACCGTGCTCCTCAGGTCTCAGCCGCCGCCGCAGTGGCTGCGATGACAGGCGTGGGGCAGCGGCGCCCGTCACGTGACTGTCACTGAGGCGCGGCCCCGCCCCGGCGCGCGTGACCGCGTGACCCCGCCCCCCCCCCCCCCCCCCCCGCCCCACGGCCTCCGCGGGCGCTCGGCACTCACCGTGGCCGCCCGGCTCGGGCTCCGTCCCCACAGCGCCGTCAGCCACCGCCGCGTCGGCCCCCGCGCCCCGAGGGCCGCCGCCGCCGCCGCCGCCGCCATGACCCCGCCCAGGGCCGCGCCTCCCGCCCGCGGGGTCACGGCGCGCGCCGGAAGCGCCCCGCCCCGCCCCTGCGGACCCCGAGGGCCCGCGTCATCAGCGTGCGCGGGGCGGGGGCGGGGGGGGGCCGTGTGCGCAGGCGCAGACGCCGCCGCGCCGCGCTGCAGGCCTTCCACGTGGAGCACACGTGCGCGCGTTGGCTCTCGACACCGACCGTAGGCCCGGCTGCACCCCGCTCGCTGCCGGTGCGAATTCTGATGGATCGGTGGCCCTGGTGCAGACTGCGGGCCTGAGACTGCTCCAGTAAGTGCGTCTCCACCCCCAGCCGGGGTTGGGAGGGCCCAGGGCACATTTGTTTAACTAGTATTCTCGCATTTTCTCGAGTCTGGTCTCCTTGCCTTCCACTGCAGGATATTCCTGAGGGTCCCTGGGCCCTCACTAATCCGCTGAGCTTTTAAACTGAACGCCTCCTTTCATTCTGTCTTGTTTGTTGACACAGGAGTTTGTGTTGTGTGTAGATCAAACTGGCCTCAAACTCGGGATCTTCCTGTCCCCGCCTCCATAGGGCTGGGAGTACAGGTGTGCAAACACAAGCCCACTACTTTATCAATGGTCAAAATGTAACCTTTTTGAGGGGGTGGGGGGTTGTCAGTCATGGGGCTTGAACTCAGAGCCTAGGCGCTATCTCTGAGCTTTTGTGCCCAAAGCCAGTGCTGTACCACTTTGAGCCACAGAGCCACTTCCAAGGACTTTTCTACCTGGGCTGTCTTCGAACCACAATCCTGAGATCTCAGCCTCCTCAGTAGCTAGGATGACAGGTGTGAGACGTCAACGCCTGACAAGATAGAACTTTTTTTTTTTTTTTTGGCAGTCCTGGGGCTTGAACTCAGGGTCTGGGCGCTGTCCCTGAGCTGCTTTTTGCTCAAGGCTAGCACTCCACCACTTGAGCCACTTCTGGTTTTTTCTGTTTATTTGGTACTGAGGAATTGAATTTGGTACTGGGAGCTTCATGCATGCTAGGCAGGCACTCTACCACTAGGCCACATTCTCAGTCCCAACATATCCTTTTAAAACATCAGGGCTTTTCATATAACTTACATCACTGTGTTTGTACTGATAATTACAATTTAATGACATTGGCAGTTTTGAGAGTATATATATATGTATATGTATGTGTGTATGTGTGTATATATATATATATATATATATATATATATATACATGCTTCAGTAGATTTTTGTTGTTGTTGTTGTTGTTTTAAGCCTTGCACCTTTGTCTCACACCAGTAATCCCATGGAGGAGGCTGAGATCTCAGGATTGGAGTTCAAAACCAGTCTGGGCAGCAAAGTACATGATTCTCTTATCTCCAGTTAACTACCAAAAAGTTGGTAATGGAACTGTGGCTCAAGTAGTGAAGTACTACAAAGAAAAGCTGAGGGAATGCTCACTGGCAATCCTAGCCGGAGGTCACCGCCATGTAAGACACTGGTCTCCTCCCAGGCTGATTCTTGGAATGGAATTAAAGGTGACAGTAAGTCTTGCTTTGGGTGTTTATGACAAAAAAAGATATATATATATATATATATATATACACACACACACATATATATATATATATATATATATATATATATATACACACACACACACACACTCTTGAAATTTGCTCAGAAAAATGGTGGCTCAAGCCTGCAATTCCACTCAGGAGGGAAATGCAGGAAAATTCCAGTTTGTGTTCACAGCCAGTCTGGACTTCACATTGAGACTCTACCTTCCCCCCCCCCCAAAAAAAAAAAAAAAACTTATGGTGTAGGTAAGGTTAGAATAATTAATAGCAACAGCACATTATTTGAAATCCATTAAGGAAGCCAGGCGCTGGTGGCTCACGCCTGTAAATCCTAGCTACTCAGGAGGCTGAGATATGAGCATCACAGTTCAAAGCCTGGAGCCCAGGCTCTTATCTCCAATAAACCACTCAGAAAACAAGAAGTGGCACTGTGGCTCAAGTGGTAGAGCCCTCACCTTGAGCTGAAGAGCTCAGGGACAGTGTCCAGGCCAGAGTTCAAGACCCACAAGCAACCAAAAAAAAAATCATTAAGCAGTAAATAAGTAAATAAAGGTACTGTGTGAGTGTGCACATTGGTGCTCTACTGTAATCCAGGACTCAAGAGATTGAGGCAGAATAGTGAGTTCAAGGCAAACCTGGGCTACAGAGAATTTACATCAATAAAAAAAAATTAAAGAGATACATTTTAAATGAAAAATGAAGGAACTAAGTTAGAACATTATTGACTAGAACACAGAGGAGAAAGATTATGGTCTAAAGATAAACGCACTGGACAGTCTGGCAGTGGCACAAAGCCAGCCATGCTGCCATTCCTCTTGGAAGTTCTGAAGTAAGAATGCTTAGGTGCATGCCTCATGTCTGGTGGCATCTGCCTTCAGCTCTGAGTCGATCTGGTTTGTTGAGATTGTTTTTCTGTTCTTTCTTTACTACTACCTTTGTGGCTCAGTTTCCTAACAGTATTAAGTACATTCAAGGCTGCAAATTTTTGGAGGACGTGTCCATTTGCCAGCTTTCTAATGAAGACTCTCCATTCAACTTCTCAAAAAAAAAAAAAAATGCTTAGGGTAGCTAGATGCCAGTGGCTCACGCCTGTAATCCTAGCTACTCAGGAGGCTACCATGTGAGGATCGTAGTTCAAAGCCAGCCTGGGCAGAAAAGTCCATAAGATTCAAATCTCCAGTTAGCCACCAGAAAACTGAAAGTGGCACTTTGGCTCAAACTTGTACAGCACTAGCCTTGAGCAAAAGAACTCAGGGACCACCGCCACCACCACCACCAACAAAAGCTTAGGTTTGCAGCTTGGTCCCACCACACAAAGCTGCATGACCAAAAGCAAGTTACCTGGGCCTCTGTTTACCCATGAGGATATTTAACAGTATTGATCTCCCAGGGCAGTGATATGGACAGGAGAAACAGTATAGGTAAATCACAGAACACAGCAGCAGGAACTCACAGGAAGCCACTGAGCGATGGAGTCACTAAGGATTTTTTCCTTTTGGTAGACTTGTCCTTGCAGGTATACATACATGTGAAGGTATAGATAGATCTTGGCTTTACCCACTTACTGCTTACTGCCTGGGTACCATGCCTAGGCGAGTCATTTAGCTTCAGCTTGGGACACGGTCCAATTCTGAGCCACAGTCCCCTCCTGCCAGGGGACACCTGGTCATAGCTGTACACAGCATGACACATAAAGCTGCAAATTGTCCCTCACGTACTACTGAGAGGACTCATTAACAGAAATAAGGTTCAATTTCTGTAAAACTTAGAGCATCTAAGGAAAGACACATTTCCTTGCTCTGAAATAGTAGTATACTAGTAGTTTATCATGAGGTAATCAACTATTTTGTATCTGAGTATAAGGAACAGCCTTTCAAAGAGTTTGTACAGGTTACATGTTGTCTTTCCTGACTACCTCTGGATCTACCACAGCATCAGGAGTTTCAAGGCTCAGTAAGTTCCTGCTTATCAACTCTAAAAGAGAAACAGAAACTGTAAACAGGCAGGAGACCAGCCTTATTACACATAAAAGAGGAGCTAGGTCTATTATAAAATTGTCACCTGGCCAGGCACTGGTGGCTGTGATACCTATAATCCTAGCTATTCAGGAGGCTGAGATCTGAGGATTGTGGTTCAACGCCAACCCAGGCAGGAAAGTCTGTGAGATTCTTACCTCCAGTGAACAACTAAAAAGCTGGAAGTGGAGCTGAGGCTCAAGTGATAGGGTACCACCAGCCTTGAGCACAAAAGCTAAGGGGCAGTACCCAGGCCCTGAGTTCAAGACATAGTACTGGCATTGGCACACACAAAAAAACTATGATCTGAAATTCTTATTTCTGCCTTCTATCTAGAACCATAGTGTCATTCTCACTATTTACCAAAATATATCTTCATGTTTCAAACTGGATTGTTCAAACTATCAGATCGTGTTCAAGTAGTATAAGCAAGAACAGGAAATTCTCATGAGAATCTTTATATTTCTTTTTGTAATACTAGTTAAAACACCAGTTTGAATTTTCTTTTATCCATTCAGTAGTTCAGCAAATGCATGATTCTTCTAACGTGACTCAGGTTGGAAGTCAGCAGTCCACCGGAAAGTACAGCCGTAGTTTCTTGGATGAAGGATGGAAATTCCTCGTTGCTCCTCTTTCTCCCCTAGGTCCATTCCTACTCCACGTGTTCCTGCTCTTGTCCCGGAATCAACCATCGAATGCTCTCGGTTCGGATGGTAGCATACATAATAAAACTAATTAAAAAGAATAGGGAAAACACAAGCAACCAGTCCACAGTTTTTATCAAAGTGCTGGGAAGAGGGCCTATTTGGTCTGCTTGAGTTACCACCACATTTTTCTTGGCTTCTATACCTGAAAGAAAAATCAATTGTTTCCATTTAGAGAGAAAACATACCCACCTCAGATTTGTCACAAGTCTGATGTGTGGTATGCAAAATGACATGCAATCCTAAAATAAACACCACGCTCGTCTAACTAGGTTGGATCTCACCTGCTTGTCAGCATAATTTGTGACTTGCTTTTCTCCCCACCACATCAAAGGGTCAGGAATCCATTCGGCTGTTCAAAGCTACAACTCAAGAATTTCTGTGAGCTCATCAGAGCTTTCTTTCTTGGAGACTTGCCTTTTGTTCTCTTGAGAGCAAAGTTCAGCAAGATAACCCATAAAGTTACTCTCTGGAATAGTGGGCTAAGTGATTTTAAATTCTCAGTGCTTTATATCAGTTATTCAAAGACCTATTGGGACAACCAGCCACCCTCAGGATCGGGGGTCACCAAATATGCTGAAGGCTCCAAGTTCTTGTCTATGCTCTGGGTTTTCCTGGACCATTAAACATAAGGGCTTCCTCTCCCCCATCCCAATCAGAAATCCAAGCTTGGTAATCCCACCCACTTCATGGTAGCCCTCTCTCCCCAACGGTCTAACTTGGCTCTGAGCTCTTCAGTATAAAGTGATTCCATGGGGCTTAGTCTATATGGGAAGCGTGTTCTGACGGGCCCGGCTTCCTGTGAGCATGCTTCAGGAAGAACTGGGCTGTCACAGTGGACGCAAGAAAGGCTCCAGAGCAGCAGAGTGCTCCAGGAGAAAAAGTAGCCATTTACCATGCTCCAGTTTTTGTTTTTGAGGGTTTTTTTTTGTTATTTTTTGTCAGTCATGGGGCTTGAACTCGGCACTGAACCTCAGCTCATCAGCTCAGGGTGAGCACTCTACCACTTAAGCCACAGAGCCACTTTCAGTTTTCTGATGGTTTTATTGGAGATAAGAGTCTCAAGGACTTTCCTGCCCAGGCTGGCTGTGAATAAACCATAATCCTCAGATCTCAGCCTCTTGAGTAGCTTAGGGTTACAGGCGTGAGCCACCAGCGCATGGCTGACACTCCAGTTTTTACAGAGTAAATAAGGTCCTAAGTACTGGCAAACATGAAGGAATTAAAATAACATCTGCAAATGGACTGATAACAGAGCACTACAATGAAACAGAACAAAGCAACTATACCCAACAGGGCGGAAGCATCCCTCAAGCACAGTCCAAAGAATACACTCTACATGTCTCCAGCTACAGGAAGCTCAGCATGGGCAACGCTAGGCTAAGAGTCAAGACTGGTTATCTTGAAGTTAGAAAAGCAGGAAGTAGAGCTGTGGCTCAAGTGGTATAACACTAGCCTTGGAAAAAAAAGCTCAGGGAGAGCACCCAGGCCCTGGGTTCAAGTCCCAGGACTGGCAAAAAAAAAAAAAAGGTACCTATAGGTAAAGTGCATGGTATATGAATTTTGTTAAAATTTCTTTTTTTTTTTTTTTTGGGTCCGGTCGTGGGGCCTGAACTGTGGGCCTGGGCGCTGTCCCTCAGCTCTTCAGCTCAAGGCTAGCGCTCTACCACTTGAGCCACAGCGCCACTTCCGGCTTTTTTCTTTTTGCTTATGTGGTGCTGAGGAATGGAACCCAGGGCCTCATGCATGCAAGGCAAGCGCTCTACCACTGAGCCACCTTCCCAGCCCCTTGTTAAAATTTCTTGATCACATTACACTTGCCATTATCAGGGAGACATTTAACAAGATCATAACAGTTTAGAAAACAGTTTTTTAGCACGAAGGATGACGGAAGCGGTGACTAATCAAGATGCGTTGTACACATAAACTGACATCGTGAATGGAAACTGGTTGAAGAGAACAAAGTTTTAGCCATGCCTATAATCCTACTCAGGAGGCTGAGATCTAGGGATCGTGGTTTGAGGTCAGCTGGGGCAAAAATTTCACTGACTCCTTCTCAACCAATAGCTGGGCATGGCAGTGCATGCCTGTCATCCAAATTATGGTGGGAGGCATAAAGGGGATCACGGTTCAGGTGCCAGGGCCTAGGCAGAAACTGAAACCATCTACATACAACAGCGCAAAAAGGGATGGGAGCATGAGTCGAGTGATAGAGCTCCTGAGTAGAAAACACAAGGCCCTGAAGGTCAAGCCCCAGTCCTTTCTTTTTTCTTTTTTTTTGTTGGTCATGGGGCCTGAACTCTGGGCCTGGGCGCTGTCCCTCAGCTCTTCAGCTCAAGGCTAGCGCTCTACCACTTGAGCCACAGCACCACTTCCAGCCTTTTCTGCTTATGTGGTGCTGAGGAATCGAACCCAGGGCCTCATTCATGCAAGGCAAGTGCTCTACCACTGAGCCACCTTCCCAGCCCGAGCCACCTTCCCAGCCCAAATCCCAGTACTATTTTAGAAAGTCAACTCTGTATCTTCTTCTCAGCACATTATTTATTTATACATACCTGTCTGATTAAAGATGAATACTTTCAGTGTTTCCAGCGTTCGGTCTGTATGATTAAATCTAGCCATTGGTTTAGCTCCTTGAAATAACAAAATGTTAGGGACAGCCACGGTGCCAAATCTGGTAGAAAGGCTGTAAAAGAAGTCCGTGAAAACCCACGTTGACCACAGATATCTTACAATTACCATGTCAGAATGGCTGGAAATCAGGAGAAAGGATCGGTTTCATGTGACCTATGGAGGTTTCTTTTCTGATAGTCAAACTTTGAGCACTTTGCTTTCCTGACCTTCCTTATTTCTTATGGAGTTACTCGTGACCCAAGTATTCCACTGTGTTGAGTTTCTAACTGTCAAAACAACTCAGGCCAGAACATTCTAATTCATGATCAAAGCACACTGTGTCTATTCTCCTAACAGAAGAAATGCCAAACTCCAGAATGGCCAGCCTTCAAAGAAGATCGACTTATGCTAGCAATTCATTGGGTGAAAGGAGGCAAGGGAATATAGAACCTGACATGCACGCCAGGAAGTTCACCATTTGGGCAGGAAGATGCACAACAGTCTTAGATCATAGTTAGGGCAATACAAAACATCTGAACAAAGTTCCCTGTGACTTATGTCTGTGGATCTTTGAAAAGGTTAAGCCAGGCATGGTGTCGTGGACTAATGGGGTCGTGGCTACTTGGGGTGCTGAGGCAGGAGCAGCACCCGAGCCTCAGCTCTTAATGCCAACCTGAGCAGCACAGTGAGACTCCCCTTGTTACCCACCTCCCCCCGCTCAAAAAAAGAGAAAAGACAAAAGCCCAGTGAACAGTGCAGAAGACATGTAAAACAAGAATATTTGTCCGCTGAGAAGGTGGCTCAGTGGTAGAGCGCTTGCTTTGCATGCATGAGGCCCTGGGTTCGATTCCTCAGCACCACATAAGCAGAAAAAAAAAAGCCGGAAGTGGTGCTGTGGCTCAAGTGGTAGAGTGCTAGCCTTGAACTGAAGAGCTGAGGGACAGTGCCCAGGCCCAGAGTTCAGGCCCCCCAAAAAAAAGTATTTGTCACTTTTAGGGCCAAAATCATCCACTAACTTATTAAATGTCTATATGGGACATGGAAGAAAGAACAAATGTAAATAAGAACAGAGAAGCTGGGTGCTGGTGGCTCACACCTGTCATCCTAGCTACTCAGGAGGCTGAGATCTAAGGATCACAGTTCAAAGCCAGCCCAGGCAGGAAACGCCATGAGACTCTTATCTCCAGTGAACCACCAGAAAACCAGAAGTGGAACTGTGGCTCAAGTGGTAGAGCACTCATCTTGAGCTAAGAGCTCAGGGACAGCGCCCAGGCCCAGAGTTCAAGCCCTACAACCGACCAAAAAAAAAAAAAGAAGAGGAGACCCAACCCCAAGGAAAGATACCTGCTGTGCCGAGACGCATCCAGTGCCAAGAAGTGAAGGGTTGGAAATGCCCGGGGCAGAGAATTAAAATGAGGGGCCAAACTGGCTGAGAAGCGGCACCAGGGGGTGTAGAACAAGACCAGGGTGCAGTCGCTACCATTTGGGTTCAGGAAGTCCATAAGATCCTGGGGTAGAAGGAAGAAGCAACTGTTAAAGTGAATGTTAAAGCCAGGCGCTTGGGGCTCACACCTATAATCCTAGCTACCCAGGAGGCTGAGATCTGAGGATCATGGTTCAAAGCCAGCCTGGACAGGAACGTCCGTGAAGACTCTCATCTCCAATGAACTACTCAGAAAATGCTAGAAGTGGTGCTGTGGCTCCAGTGGTAGAGTGCTGACCTTGAGCTGAAGAGCTCAGGGATAGCGCCCTGGCCCAGAGTTCAAGCCCCATGACCAACCAAAAACAAAAAAAAAGAACGTTAAATGTGCACACATTGTGGAAAGCCACTCCCACAGGAAGAGAAAATGCATGATAAAGGCTCGACAACTCTGCCATTTTGACCCATCAGCATAAAAGTATGGACAAGGTAAGAACTCCTGGCCTGCCTGACAATACTCTTATCTGCCATAATCCACTGTACATCTCATATGTCAACAGTTGGGGGGGGGGGTCTTTGTCCCCTTCTAGGCACTGGTGTTGGGCGGCCTCAGCCTGAGGTGAGGTCTAGAGGGAGGCCTTGGGTCATGGGGGAGGGGGAAGTTGCTGTTGAAGGACTGCGATGGGCCCCCTGATCTCCAGGTTCTCCTTTGGCTTCCTTTCCTGGTCCCGGGGACATGAGGTCAGCCTCACTACAGGCCCAAAAGGGATGCACCACCTCGCCATGTCCTGAGGTCTCCAACATGTGGAACTTAAACTTCTCTCTTTTTTTACGGTTGATTACCTCAGGCATTTTGTTGCAGTAGCACATGAAACCATCTCAAGTGGTGTTTGGCGCATTATGCTTCCCAAACTATCACCAAGCGGGCAGCAGCTAGGCACCAAGCAGCCAGGTGAGTGTATGCGGCCAAAGGTCAGTACACTTAAGGTGTGCGGTCCCTGAAACCAGCTATCCAAACCGTTACTGGCCGTCCCAGCGGAGACACAGCTGGCAAAGCCAGCCTCCGTGAGCAAGGCCCACGGTCCCCAGACACCCTGCAGGCGACAGGAATGCAGGCTGACCCCTGCCCCTGAAGGAGCCCTCTGGGAATTCCAGAACTTCCTGTGAGATCACCGTCCAGCTACCTGCAAACCCACGGCTGGGTCTGATGGCTGGGTTTGGAGCAGTGGTCTCAATTCTCACTCTAGAACAAACCCGGCTCCTTCAGAGGAAGCGGAAACTCGTCATCTATCCAGCTTATTTTCCAGAGGCACAACTAGTATAAGTAATGCCACATTGTAATTTTTAATTGAATTGTTTTTCATCTGAATTGTTAATTCAGATAGGGAGGTCTCACCAGGCTGCCCAGCCTGGTCTTGAACTCATAGGTTCAAAGAATCCTCTAGCCTCAACCTCCCCAGCTGAGGACAGGGCTGAAGATGTAGCTCAATTGGCAGCGTTCTCGCCTGACAAGGAGCTGGGACTGCGCATGCCCACCACAGCTCTATTCCATGACTTCTGTGCTGCCTCTGTAATAACTACCTCCTTTGAAACAAAAAGGGTCCGTGTGTTTATAGCCGTGCACATGCTATGCAGGTCACTGTCAGGAACCCTGATGCTAAGATTGGCCCAGGGAGCATTAGCTGCTAGCTTCCTGCGGCCTAGCTGCTCCCAAGTGGCCCAGGCAGGCCTGGAGCCCCTGGTCCTCCAGCCTGGCTCCGGTGTGCTGGGACTGCAGTCATGCAGGACCACACCCGGCTTCTAGAAAGCACGGTGGACAGTAGCTGTATCCCCTTTTTCTGTAAGCACCCTGGGGAGCCCAGCCGTTTTCACTGGGGCAGCCCTCAGGGCCACCCCTGGCAGCACCCTCATTCGCTGAGAGGGTTATTGGGGTGAGAGGATGAATGTGGAATTGGGGGGCTGGAAGAAGTAAGAGTAATACGGAGGTGCTCAAGGAGGATAGGAGTATTACTGGGTTGCTGGAGAATAGTATTCTTGGGGTACTAGAGGAGAATGGAAGTCGTATTGGGGTGCTGGAGGATGATAGTACTATGGGTGACAGGATGATGAGAGTATCAGGGTGCTGGAGGCGGGTGAAGGTATTATCGGGATGCTGGAGGGTGGGAGCACTATCAGGGTACTGGAGGGGGGTGAGAGCATCTCAGGGTGCAGGAGGGGGTGGGAGCGTCTGGGGCGCGGGAGGGGGTGGGAGCGTCTGGGGCGCGGGAGGGGGTGGGAGTCCGGGCGCGGGAAGGGGGGGGGAGTGTCTGGGGGTGCGGGAGGGGGGTGGGAACGTCTGGGGGTGCGGGAGAGGGTGGGAGCGTCTGGGGGTGGGGAGGGGGAGGGGGGCGTCCGGGGTGCAGGAGGGGCGGAGGGGGGTCCGGGCGCTGGGGGGAGGGGCGGGGGGGCGTCCGGGGGGGCGTCCGGGTGGGGAGGGGGGCGGAGGGGGGGCGTCGGGCGCGCACCCACCTGGGAGGCGTTGAGGATCCTCAGGGCGGCGCCCTGGGGCCCCGCGCCCGCCGTGGCGTTGCTCTCCTCGCAGTTCACCTTGGGCGCCTTGAGGCTGTCGGTGGTGTTGGCGTCGTCGGGGGCGGCGGGCTGCGGCTCGGGCTCGGGCGGCTCGGGCTCGTCCTCGTCCCGGTCCCCCCCGGTCCCGGTCCCGGTCGGCCCCGGCCGCGCCCAGCGAGAAGAGCCGCTCCCGGGCGCTGCACCGCGCGGCCGGGGCGCCCGCGCCGCAGGTGCCCGCGGGGTCCCCCGCGCCCGCCGGCCACGCGCCGTCCCGGTCCCCTGCAACTGCAAGGCGCCGCGGGTAACGCTCCCGAGGGCAGAGAGGGGCTCCCCGAGGGCCACCCCCATGGTCCAGCCCCGAGACAGACGGATGGATCCCCCAAGACGTAGCACAGCGAGCCGGGCGGGCGGCTCAGGCCCGCCGCCCCAGCTCCGCAGGAGGCTGAGAGCCAGGATCGCGGTTCACAGCCAGCCCCGGCAGGAGAGGCCCTGAGACTCTGATCTCCAAGGAACCACCAGAAAACCAGAAGTGGCGCCGTGGCCCAAGTGGTAGAGCGCTCGCCCTGAGCTGAAGAGCTGAGGGACAGCGCCCAGGCCCCGAGTTCAAGCCCCACGACCGACGGAAACAAAAAAGGAAACTAACACCTACTGCACAGAACTTAAACTAAGAGGCTGGCGCCGGTGGCTCACACCTGTCATCCTAGCTACTCAGGAGGCTGAGGATCGAACATTCTAAACCAGCCCAGAAAGAGAAATCTTTGAGACTCCAGGAAAACAAGCCAGAGTGGAGGCGCGTGGCTCAATTGAGCTCAACTGGCCAGAAGCCTCGAGTGAGAAAGTTAAGCGACAACACCCTGAGTTCAAGTCCCAATACAAGCATGTGCACACACGTACACACACACAGAGACTAACTGAGATGATGCTCACAGCTGGGCATCTGTGGTTTATGGGCATAATCCCAGCGACTCAGGAAGCAGCACAGTCAGAAGCCAGTTCAGGCAGACAAACCACGAGACCCATCACCGAGTAACCAAGAGAAAAGCCACAAGCAGAGCCAAGCACAGTTGCTCCTGTAATTCTAGCTACGCAGGAGGCTGAGACCTGAGGACTGGGGTTGGAAGCCAGCCTGTCTAGGAGAGTCTGTGAGATTCTCCTAATTAACCACCAAAAAAGAAAGAAAAAGAGCCAGAAGTGGAGTTAAGGCTCACGTGGCAGAGTACTAGCATTGAGCAAAAAAGCCAAGGGACAGGGGCCCAGACCTGGAGTTGAAGCCTCAGTATACACTCACTCACACACACACACTCACTCACTCACACACGCTTGCACAGAACACCTTAGGCTCAGTTCCCCGCTTTCACTGACAGCCGTGTTACCTCTCATCCTGGCCCACACTCAGAAGTCTGCCACTCTGGGGCGGTGGGGAGGGAAGGGACGGTAGGGGGGAAACAAAAGGAGGGGGCAGCCGTGCTGACAGGACAGGAACTCACTGCCTGACTCATGTTAACTGTGAGCCCCCCCCCTTACAATAAAAAATGTCAAAAAAGAGAAATCTGCCACGCTGCCTCTCCCTGTCGCAGCCCAGGGAAAGGAGAGAGGACCTAGCAATTTCTATGAAGGTCTGGACTTTCACAGGGGAGTAGGGGGGGGGGGGGAGGAAGGGGAGGAGGAAGACAGGGGGGAGAGGTGGAGGAGGAGGAGGGGGAGGACAAGGGGGAGAGGAGGGAGGGGGAGGAGAGGAGGAAGGGGAGGACAAGGGGGAGAGGAGGGAGGGAGGGGGAGGAGGAGGAAGGGGAGGACAAAGGAGAGAGGAGGAGGGGAGGGGGGAGGAGGAGGAAGGGGGAGGATAAGGGGGAGAGGAGGGAGGGGGAGGAGGAGGGAAGACAAGGGAGAGAGGAGGAGGGAGGGGGGAGGAGGAGGAAGGGGAGGATAAGGGGGAGAGGAGGGAGGGGGAGGAGGAGGAAGAGGTCGAGAGCAGGAGGAACAGGGGAGCAAGAGGGGGAGGAGGAGGGGGAGGAGGAAGACGGGGGAGAAGTGAAGGAGGAGGAGGGGGAGGACAAGGGGGAGAGGAGGGAGGGAGGAGGAGGAGGGAGAGAGCAGGAGGAACAGGGGAGCAAGAGGGGGAGGAGGAGGGGGAGGAGGAAGACAGGGGGGGAGAAGTGAAGGAGAGGAGGGGGAGGACAAGGGGAGAGGAGGGAGGGAGGAGGAGGAGGAGGAGGGAGAGAGCAGGAGGAACAGGGGAGCAAGAGGGGGAGGAGGAGGAGGACAAGGGAGAGAGGAGGGAGGGAGGGGGGAGGAGGGGGGGAGGGGGGGAGGGAGGGGGAGGGAAGAGGGCGGGGCGAGGGCTCGGGCCCGGGAGGCCGGCCAGGCCCACCGAGGCGGCTCATCCTGGGGCATCATCTGTGCGACGCTCCGGGCCGCTGACCAGGCCGCAGAGCAGGACGACGGCCGCCCCGCGGCGCCCCGCACGCGAGGCCGGGCCAGGAGCGGCGGGACGGGGAGAGCGCAGGCCCCGCGGCCCCCGGCCTCCCCCCCGGCCCCGGCCCCGCAGCCCCGGCCGCACTCACCCTCCAGGCCGCGGGCAGGAAGCCCCAGCACCCACAGCAGCACCTGCCACCCGCAGAAAAAGCCTCATGGCGCGGGACGGCCGGCGGCCGGGGACACCGCTCCCTCGCCACCGCCACCAGCCCGCAGCCGAGCCGCGAGCCGCGCGCCGCGCACCGCGCACCGCGGCCGGACCGGGTCGCGCTGGCGACGCGGAGGGGGCGGGGACCGGGCGAGGCCGAGAGCGCAGGCGCGGCTCCCGCCGCCATCTTGGCACCTGGCGGTCGCCCGTGGGCGCCATCTTGGAGTCGGGCGGAAGGTTTCCTGGCCAACGGCCTGACCCGGGTCTGGACGCTGTCCCTTAGCCTTTCCGCTCCGTGCTAGCGCCGCCTCTGGCTGCCCAGGCTGGCCTCGAACCTGGATCCTCAGGTCTACTGAGCTTCTGGGGGGGTTAGGCCCACAGGCCGTGACCCCGCCCAGGGTTCTCACCCCGCACCGGGATCAGGCGTGTGCGGACTTTTAACTGCTGTGAACTGATGACACCCCAAAGTACGGCATGCTGGGGACCTAGAACCAACCCCGCGGAAAGGCCTCTTGGAAGCTGCCCCGGCCAGGGCAGTCCTGCCCTGTGTAATAATAATAGGTCAGGAGACAGAGCCGAGGGCCCGCGCAGCCCCCCTCGGGATAGCTGGCTGGGAGCTGAGCTATTAGGAGTGTTAATTCTGGGCTTGGTGGTAGTGATCGCCTAGCAGGCAGGACGCTCTGGAGTCCTCAGTACCACAGACACAGAAAAAGGCATTAGTGCAGCTGCGGCTCAAGTGGTAGAGCGCTAACCTTGACCAAAGGCAGCTCAGGGACAGCGCCCAGGCCCTGAGTTCAAGCCCCAGGACTGGCAAAAAAAAAAATAACAAGTTAATTCTATGATGTCTATCATGGGAACCCTTCCATGTTTTGTACATTTCAATGACTGAAGCTGTCCCGACATTTGACAAGACAATTGTCAGACGTCATTAACGATACCCCACGGATACTTCTTACTGTGGAGTAAGTGGGTTCAGGAGAATCTGAGACAGGGAGAGACATGGATGAAAGAGCCCACAATTCTAGTTTATCACTACTGTCATCACCCCCATTACATAATAGCAAACCTTCGGGGGTACAGCTCAGTGGTAGAGCATTTGATTGCATAATAGCAAACCTTCCTCCTCTCTCCCACACTCTCCCATCTGATTGCAATGGTCCTGGAGAGCCAATAGCACAGAGCAGTAAGGGATTATTGTTTTTTTTCATCTATGAAAAGGAGGATGAGTTGACAAATCTGGACACTCCAACCTAGACACTATGTGGCCACTATTCACTCCCCACGGTGGTGTTTTAGCAGTGTGATTTGATAGATACACTTATAGATGTTTAGTTCTTGTCTTTAAATCAGCACTGTCTAAACAAACAACTCTCTAATTCCATAAATCCACATTTGACTGTCTGACCACCAGGTGGCGCACACACTGGTTTTCAGGGAGATTTGAAGAGTTCAGGTTGTCCCTGTTTCTAACAGGTTTTTGGTGTTTTGGTTTTTTTTGTAGGTTCTGGGCTTGAACTCTGGGCCTGGGTGCTGTCCTTCAGCTCTTCAGCTCAAGGCTAGGGCCCTACCATGTGAGCCACAGCGCCACTTCCAGCTTTTTTCTACTTATGTGGTGCTGAGGAATCAAACCCAGGGCCTCATTTGTGTGAGGCAAGCGCTCTACCACTAAGCCAACTTTCCAGCCCTCTGACAGGTTTTTTTTAAGAAACAGGAAAACACAAAGTTGACTTTTTTTCTTTTTTCTTTTTTGCCAGTTGCAGGGCTTGAACTCAGGGCCTACGCACTGTCCCCAAAAGTTCCTTTTTACTCAAGGATAACTAACATTCTACCACTTGAGCCACAGCACCACTTCCAGATTTTTCTGTTTATGTGGTATTGAGGAATGGAACCCAGGGCTTCACACATGCTAGGCAAGCAGTCTACCACTAAGCACCTTCCCAGCCTTGACATGATTCTTTTGCTGTAATGAATATCTGTCCATAGGTATGGCCTGGAATTATTCACAGGAGGCTCATTGGAATTGGAATTGTTAGGCACACCCACATACCTTCATTCCTGATGCTAAATTTGCCAACCTGGGGTCCAGTTGTGGGGCTTAAACTCAAGGCCTGGGAGCTGTCCCTGAGCCTTTTCAAAGCTAGCATTCAGTCACTTTGAGCCACAACTCTACTTTCAGTTTCTTGTTTTTGGGGTTTTTTTTTTGCCAGTCGCAGGGGCCTGAATTCTGCCCGGGCGCTCTCCCTCAGCAATTCAGCTCAAGGCTAGCACTCTACCACTTGAGCCACAGTGCCACTTCTGGCTTTTTCTGCTTATGTGGTACTGAGGAATCAAACCCAGGGCTTCAGGCATGTAAGACAAGCACTCTACCACTGAGCCACCTTCCCAGCCCCTATTTTGTTTTCTTGTGGTTAATTGGAGATGAATCTCACAGACTTCCCTGCTCCAGGTGGCTTTCCTGCCCGTGATCCTCAGATCTCAGCCTCCTGAGTAGCTAGAATTACAGGCGTCAAACACTGGCACCCTACTAGCCTAGATTTTTTTTAATCTGAAGATTCTTGTTCAACTCTCACAGAAGGTGGTAGCTAGTATTTATCTCACTGTAAGTCTCTGTGTCAAACTATTTTCCAAGATGGCCACAGCAATCTCCCTTCCCCCAACACACACACATTAATCCCACACACAGTTCTAAATGTAATTTTGTACTACCCGTACATCAATAGAGATCCTTTCTTTTTTTTTTTTTTTTTTGGTCAGTCATGGGGCTTGACTCTGGGCCTGGGCGCTGTCCCTCAGCTCTTCAGCTCAAGGCAAGCACTCTACCACTTGAGCTACAGCCCCTCTTCCAGTTTTCTGGTGGTTCATTGGAGATAAGAGTTTGACAGCTTTTCCTGCCCAGGCTGGCTTTGAAAACCACGATCCTCAGATCTCAGCCTTCTGAGTAGCTAGGATGACAGGCGTGAGCCACCAGCACCCAGCTACGAGTTCCTCCCTTTGAATGTAGGTGGGCCCATAGTCTTCCCTCAGTCCAAAGAATGTGACAGAAATGACCATGTGTAACTTCTCAGGCAACACAGCGTCCGTCCTAATCTTTTGCTGGAGGGTTTGCATTGACGTCCCAAACCTATGCCAACGACAGTCCTTGCTACTACAAAGCTAGCACAGAGCTGCCCTGAATAGTGCCCACATGAAGAATTTACTCCAAGACCTGGTCTTTTTTTTTTTCTTGCCATTTGTGGGACTTGAACTCATGGCATGGGCTGTCCCTGATCTCTTGCTCAAGGCTAGCGCTCTACACTTTGAGCCATCCTTCCTGCTTTTGAGTGGTTCATTGGATGTAAGAGTCTCTCGTGGAATTTTCTGCCCGTGCTGGCTTGGAACCATGATCCTCAGATCTCAGCCTCCTGAGTAGCTAGGATGACAGGCGTGAGCCACCAGTACCCAGTGTCTTAAAATAGGAGCCACTAATTTCACACTACCTATATGGGTCAGGAGTGGCTTAGCGAGGTGGTTCTTGCTCAGCAAGCTAGCTAGGGCACATACAAGCAACTATGACACAAGCACCGTGGCAGCCGTTCTATGAAAAACCTCTTCCTCGGGTTGACAGGGAAGAGACAAAGCCAGATGATTACAGCAGATGCTCCAAACATACCAGGTAACAACTAAAGGCCTTCAGGTGCTTGTGGGAATAACTGCCTAAGGCATGCAGAGCCAACACTGCAAATAACATGCATGCACTAAACAGGTGACAAATAGTGCAATTAAAAGTTAGAACAGTTTAAAGCAGCACCCCACAGATATCACTCAAGAGAATAAAAGGCATGAGAAGGTTGTTAGGAAGCAGCAGTGAACACAGTTACTACAGGATTCCTTCTCTTTATCAGGACAAGAGCAACCTGATCTTCACAAGGAGAAATTAAGCTGGCCACCAGTGGTTCATGCCTGTCATCCTAGCTACTTAGGAGGCTGAGAGCTGAGGATCACAGTTCAAAGCCAGCCCGGGCAGGAAAGTCCGTGAGACTCTGATCTCCAATAAACCACCAGAAAACTGGAAGTGGCACAGTGGCTCAAGTAGTAGAGTGCTAGCCTTGAGCTGAAGAGCTGAGGGACAGCACTCAGGCCCAGAGTTCAAGACCCATGGCTGACAAAAAAAAAAAAAAAAAAGAGATGCTCTTGTAAGAAATGGACAAGGCCAGGTGCTGGTGGCTCATGCCTGTAATCCTAACTCAAGAGGCTAAGATAGGAAAATCATAGTTTGAAGCTCAGATAAGTCCAAGACTCTTATTTCCAATAAAGCAGCAAAAAGAAGTAAAGCTGTGGCTCAAGTGGTAGAGCACCAGCCTTGAGCAAAAAGCCAAGCAAAGGAACTCCAGTCCCAGTTCTAGCCTAGTACTGGGAACAAAAGGAGAGGGGGGAGATGTAAATATAAAAAAGGGAGTTCCTGGGCTGGGAAGATGGCTCAGTGGTAGAGCGCTTGCCTTGCATGCCTGAGGCCCTGGGTTCGATTCCTCAGCACCACATAAGCAAAAAGAAAAAAGCTGGAAGTGGCGCTGTGGCTCAAGTGGTAGAGCGCTAGCCTTGAGCTGAAGAGCTGAGGGACAGCGCCCAGGCCCAGAGTTCAGGCCCCACGACCGGACCCAAAAAAAAAAAAAAAAGGGAGTTCCTAAAAAATTACTTTTTTTTAACGCCAGGAAGAAAAAGAGCCTCAATAAGCCATGTATCTTTTGTTTTACAATCTGAAATTTCTCTATCACGAAGTTCTTAAAATTATAAAAACACTGTATTGGAGGCGTTGCTCAAGTGAAAGAACACAAGGCAGGACAAGAGAGCCCAGTGGGAGCATAAAGCTCTGAGATCCAGCCCCAGTACCATCTTACAAATAAGATAAAGTATGAGCCAACTATATCTGAATTGTTAAGCCAAAGAGGGCATATTGAAGTTCAGATGTAAGCCTTAGAAGCATATTAGCCTACAGTATGTATCTTTAATAATGGAAATAAAGGGTTGGGAATATGGTTCAGTGATAAGAGTACTTCCCTCACATGCATGAAGCCCTGGATTCAATTCCTCAGTACCAAAAAAAGCCAGAAGTGGTGCTGTGGCTCAAGTAGTAGAGTGCTAGCCTTGAGCAAAAGAAGCTCTTGGACAGTGGCTAGGCCCTGAGTTCAAGCTCCAGGACTGGCAAAGAAAATAGTAACGAAAATAAAATACATCTGCAAGGA